TTGCAATATTGCCTATTCGACTTCCAATAAGAAATACTTCAATATTTATTTATGTAACACACCTACATTTATAAGGAGAAAGTAATATTTAAAAATTGCACGCACTGCTATGACAGGCGACATAAAGCTCGAAATGAATGACGTTATTCCCCCTCGCTCTTCAGACGTCGTAGTGCTAGACTCGTAAGGCGAACTTTACTTGAGCTTTGCCAGGTATAGCTGAAACGTTAGTACCCAACCGAGTTCACCGGAAGCATGATTAAATTTATACTTGAATTGTATAACCTTCTTGTCTAGGAATGGATTTTATTATTTTATATAGGCAATATTTCTGATCAATTGCCAAAAGATAGGCTATAATTAATAATAATATATAGTTGCCTTTTTCTTGGGTGGTAGATATGCTTTGTGTCATTGGTGACAAGCCGCTATACGAAAAATAGATCTGGCATTTTTGTAATAATTTTTTCTCCTCAACAACAAAACGTGATAGGATTTTTGATCCGACGTTTCGTTCTTGCTAAACCATTATCAATTTTACATTGATGATTGCATTACATTATCAATTTCAAGACATCTTTGTCAAGTCTTGCGCAACAACTTAGCATAGAATCAAGTTAAATAGAAATAAAAATAGTCCGAACCGTCGGAAAAGATCTGGAGTAGTGTGATATGTTCTTGGATTTAAATTTGAAACGAGAGTTTGGAAAATGTAAAACAAAATGTTTCGACTATTATTTAAAAAAAAATAACAAAATAATTGATGAAGACAGCTCGGACACGTCGGATCTCATTTTCAATAACGCCGTTTGGTAGAGCGGAAAAAGTGACTCCGAAAATGTGTAATTTATTTTAAAATATTCCTTCGAATATACTCAGGCAGAATTAAAAACAATTTTGCAAAATTTCGAGTTTTACAAAATAAAATTATTATACAGGGTGGTCGCAGAAAAGCTGGACAGGTAGTAACTTATTTTTTTTAAATAGGCACCCCTATTTTTTTTTCACAATTTCGGATTTCAGATGAAATTTTAAGTATTTTTCATGAAACATGTCCTATACCTAAATTCAACTGTTTCAGATATATTAATAGTTGACAATTAACTTTTTTGCAAATTTGAGAAGCTGTAAAACCTAAACGGTTAATTTTAGAGGAAAACCGATTTTACATTCCAACCTTGGAATTAATCCCTGATTAAAAATTCCAATTAAATTTAATCTCGGATTGAATTGATATGAACTAAAATTAACCGTTTAGGTTTTACAGCCTCTCACAGTTGCAAAAAAGTCAATTGTCAACTGTCAATATTTCCGAAACAGTTGAATTTAGGTATAGGACATGTTTCATGAAAAATACTTAGAATTTTATCAGAAATCCGAAAATGTAAAAAAATTAGGGGTGTCTATTTGGAAAAATTAAGTTACTACTTGTCCAGCTTTTCTGCGACCACCCTGTATAATAATTTTATTTTCTAAAAAATGCTCGAAAAAAAATAAAATCGACGTGTTCAAGGATTTTCAAAAAAATTGCTTAGAAGAATAATTATTAAGTTTAATCCTTACTTTACGGCCGCACTGTATGTATTTGTTTACGGGCTCGTCATAATCAACCTAATTTCTATTCGTCCTGTTCTCCTACTTCAATTAATTGTTTGTTTATCAAATGGTTCGGTTTGAAATTAATTATGACATTAGGCGACATTGAACTTTCTGGGTCATTATTTCAACTAGCTGGCACATATTAGTACCTAATTGATTTCTGTCGATAGTGCATCAACACGGTAATAGTTATTTATGATGTAAGTGTTAAAAGTACATTTTTAAGGCACGCATGTGAAAGTTTGCAGAATGAGCGAAGCGAATTCTGCAATTCACATAAGTGCCTTAAAAATACTTTTAACACAAATAACATACAATATTTTTTCTACACTGAAAGAAGGATTTAGTTATAATAACCTAAAATTAGTGACTATTACTAAATCGCTTATTGAAATATGGCTTATTAAACGTTTGGTCACAACACACAAATTATTTGTTTAAAATTTGAGAATAAAGCACTTATTTAATGATATACTCTATCTAATAATAGTTAATTAACGCATATTAATAATAAATAAATATTTTGTTCTCTGAAGTTGGTGTCTGCTTCTGGATTTTCTGTCTTTACTAATAGTAAATTGATCATATTTTTCGAAAATATACGTTTGTTAATAATAAATTCTAGTTTCTTTTGCTGGATTAAACATAACTTTATATTTATTACCAGTAAGTAAACAATACTTGATTCAAATAATCATTTATTAATAGTAAACAACGTTTATTCGTAAATATTATTTAGCTTTGTTACTGTTAATTTGGAATTATTTAACATAAGTATTTTTGTTTCTTTAAACCCGGTTGTACAATTGAAGCCTATCATGGCTTAGTTAGGCTTTCTGGTACTTGAAACCTTCCCATTTAAAATGCACAGCTGTAAGATTGGGCAACACGTTGACAGTAATGCATTTTAAATAGGAAAGTACAAGTAACAGTTAAGCTTTAATAAGCCACGATTTATAAGCTTCGATTGTACCACTGGGCCTTAGTTTGTTCCTGGAAATAGGGCACTCTGAAATAATTAAAAACGAACCGATCTTTTTTTGAATTTATTTTTCTTCGGTAGGCTAGATTCTCACATAGGTAACATCATTTTGTTGAAAAACATAGCAACATGGCGGGTGTACATGCGGCGACCTGTGAATGTAATAATGAACTATAACTCGATTATCTTCTCAGGTGTATCAGGAAAAAAAGGTGAATACAAAGTTGCTTGGTACCTATTAATTAACTGGCGCTTCTTCAGAAAATATTATTACGTTTGCAGTTTTATAAAACAACTTCAGCATCACCATCACAGCACGTTTCCAAAAATCGTTGTAATTCGACACTGTTGTGTTCTGCCACGCTATCTTCCACGATTTAATAATTATTACACTCAGAGTTGGGATAATATCATTTATAAGTTGACTGTTAACTTTGTATTCCGCCGAAGCACGCCAGAATAACGCAAAAGTAGGGAGTCGGTGGAACAGATAAAACATAGGTCAAGGTGTTTCTTCTTTCACGCCTCGAAGCCAAAAGAACGAATAGCTCACAAATATAGGCGATAGACAGTGCGGACGGTGGCGGGTGTACCAACGTTTGTTTACTGATATTATAATTTATGTATGGAAAATAAGGATTTATTATCAGAAACCAAGGAACAAGTTAAAATTTCAACTAAACTGTGTTAAAATGGAACATTATATATTTATTAATCTATAGTTACCATTTGTTTATAATTACTAAACCAGAACATTCTGTTAATAAATTATATTCATAAAACCCTTGTAAATCAATGTAAGAAATATTTTGTTCATTATTAACAAACATTGTTTGATATAAGAAAATTAGTCCTAATAAATCATTTGTATTTTATAAATAACTATTTTTAAGAGTCATATTTTTAATTACCAATTTAATGTATTTCTTACCATTGCATATTAATTATAATATTGGTTTGGTATTTGTAACTAAATTTGTTAGAAACAAATATTTATTTATTATAATCTCGAATTTTTTTTCAGTGTACAAACGGCATTAACCAGTAACAAATTGAATTTTTAGAATGAATAATAAATTGGAAGCATCTTTCCTAAAAAAAATTATCGAATTTGACATTTGTCAAAAAATCCAAAACAACCAGCACCTTGTTTTACAGGTAATGAAATGTCTTGTCAGTTTCTTGAAAGTCTGTCATGGTCAGTAATGCTTTTTGCTAAAAATGCAACAAAATACAGAAGAAAAAGAGGGTTGCATCGATCCCTTGAAAAATATAGATGAGGCGACCAATCGGGCTACCTCAGTTGTTCAAATTTCACCATGAATATCAATGTAAATAACTAAAAATACAAACTTTTTTTGACGTTCGCTCTCAAAATTTGATGTTTCATTTTTAACACTAGTGCGATAAAGACTTTATGGCACTAGTGCGATAAAGTAACATTTTTAATGCTACGGGGGGGTGTTAAAAATTGCATTTTTAACACGTTTGTAGAAAAAATGAATTTATTCACCAAATACTTAAAATACGAATTATTTTATAAGTTTTTTTATGAACTGCCAACATTTTTTATTAATCGCTCCTAAAAATAATGCTAATCCTGGATATTTGCTTAAAATCGTGATTATTTCAGTTTCATTGGTCCACACTTGCTGCTTTAGTTGTAATTTGTATGTACGTTCCACTCTTAAGTTGTATAAAACCGATCATCAAGTGAAATACATGCAAGACATTATAGAAGGAATTTCATTTATTAATGTTTTATTGGTTTACAAGGATTATCGGAAAAATAATGTGTGGCAATGCTTATATAATAATATTGATCCAAAAGTGCTTACATATAATTCAAGAATATTTAAAGTTATTGCAACATTTTTAATAATGAGATTGTTGCTATTTTACATATTTTATATGGATTTTATGATAATCTATAAAGAATTAAAGAACCCATTTTATGCTATTTTGTTGAGAGCTTCAACATGGATGACAATCTATTATTTTGTATGTATCCCACTATTTATAACCGTCTTATTATTGGAGGTTCACATGCAACTAGTTGATGCCCAAAACACCTTAACGGATGACATTGAGAAAATAAAAGAATCAAAAATTATGTTTCGCAAAGTGGAAAAAACAATCAAATGTATTACTGAACTATTTGGTTATAAAATGGTTTTATTGTTTGGCTCGTGGCTGGTAATGCTCGTTGGAACATCGTTTGGTTTTTATCTAATTGTTACCGGACATAACACTTATTGGGGTATCCAATTTTTTAGTACTTGGGAGGTTTTAGCAAACTTTGGATCAAACGTTATAATAATATTAGTAAGTGGCATGATATCCGAAGAATTCGCTATTTTCAAGCCTTTCTATAATTTGAATCGTCTATAACAGTATGAGTTAACAAGAGGTTTCTTTTAGGTGGGACCATGTGTCATTGCATTCACCTGCGACATGGTTAAAGCAGAAGCAGATCAACTTTCAAGTACCTGTTATGGGCTTCAAGAAAAGTTCGAACACGGATCCCATGAGTACCAAGAGTTGAATTCGTTTAGTCGTTACATAGTTAATGTTGGGATCCGTTTTACGGCTGCAGATTTTTTCGAAATTAAACGATCAATTCTATTATCTGTTATCGCAACTTCGACGACCTATTTTATAGCATTAGTACAGTTTTATTAGGAGAAAAATTTGCCTCCATAGTCTTCAACATACTTTCCAGAAGCACAATATTTATCTTATGAATGCAAATGGCTTTTCTCTACGATGTACAAAAGTGTTTGAGATTTAATTAGTACCAAATTTAATACATCAGCCGACCAAGTAGAGGAAACAGACTTAGGTACTTGATTCTACATTATTAATAGTGATAGTATCAATGAAAACTAAATCTGATAAGTTTTTTTTTCGAAAATACTTTATTTCAATTTTAATTAATACAATAAATTTCTTATTTGTAATCCTTCAAACAGTGTTTATAACACTGGTATCAAGGATACTAACTAGTACAGCTGTACTCAATACAGGAACCCACCACCTCAAATTCAGCCCTCCAAACAACAACAATCTGCATATTTTGTGGTAATGTGATGTTTTAAACTTTGTGTAAATGCTCTGAAACTAGATTTCTTTAAGTCTGGCAAACTGTTAAAGCTAACAGAGGCCCTTGATATGGGACTATTCGAGCCCTTATTAGTGTTCACATTATGATGGTATATGTTGTTCTGAGTCCTTGTGTTGTGATCGTGTACATTATTTGCAAATAAAATTGGTGTGTTGCATTTTTGAGTACTATTAATTACCTTATAAATATACTTGCATTGTTCTAGTTCTAACAACTGGTTCCACTGATATATACTCAACCTTTGGTATAGGTCACATGTGTGTGTTCGCCATTCAAGCTTAAATAGAATTTTCAAAATTTTGTTTTGAAGTGTTTGCATGTTTTTGAAGGTAACTTTACCACATGTGCCCCAAACCGGGAGAAGATATCTGAAGGGTGTTGCGAAGTATGCATCACATATCATATGTTTTACATCTGTTGGAAAAACTCCAACTTTATTTTTCTTCCTTTAAATTAAAAACTTGCTGCTCCGCCACTATCCCGAAAAATGACAATTGACGCATTTAAATTCTAGAAAATATTCCTACGCGCGACCCTATCTTTTTCTCTTTTTAACCCGCTGTTTTTTTGTATGTTTGCGTATCGTCTTGTTGCCGAGCACGAAGTGTCCCTGTGCATTCATTTATTGTTGTTCTCTGTTGGGAGACGAAAAAATGCAATTTAGGTTAGATAAAAATTGTTGTTGTTGTCATTAAACAATTCTCCTTCTCTTCTCTCTCTCTAAATTAATAAATTCAGTGAAAAGTTTAAAGTTGTGCATTATTTAAATATTGGAAAATCCAACTGAATCAGCCTATGGATAATTTGGCGGTCTGAATTGAACACAGAGGCTAACTTTCCGAAGTGGGACAAAGGTTTACTTTCAGCCCCCCCACAATATTATTAGTCAAATAATTTCTATATATACCGGGTGTCCTACTAAGGTCGACCAGGTAGGATATTATGGAAACCATAGACCTTACGTAACTTGAAAACGAATGCAGATATTGAATTGCGGTTTGCTCCAAAATGTAGATTTTTTTTGCTCTTTAAGCACAGCAATAAAAAAATAATATCATGCCATTTGGATTTTTCAATAAAATTAGAAAAACTGGATCTTGGTTAAACAGCGCCCTCTAGAAGACGCGGTGGCAATTATTGACCCCGAACGAAGTGGTGATCTTAATAACAAGGAAATTCTCTTTCAAATAAGCCCCAATTGAATAAGTTTGGATAAGAAGTATGGAAGATACAGCAATTTTTAAAACTATTTTTTCACCAGCTTCCCCCACCCTTATTAGTGAAGATACGAAAAAAGCTTAATAACCAAACTAACGCAAAAATTAATGAACTTTTGATTTCTGTTGTTGAAACAGTACCTACCTATCTTAATATAGCGATTTTTTGAGAAAATTTGAATTTTTAGTTATGTCATCGTGATTGCGCCCCCTAGCAGTCATCTTAGAAACTTGAAAATAATTTCCATCAATTTCTCTTGGCCAACTTAATCAGGAAAAAAAAAAATCCTGAAGCCGTAAGGTCTATGGTTTCCATAATATCGTACCTGGCTGACCTCAAAGGGACACCTGGTATAGAGAGCGCTGATCATTCAAGTAATTTTTAGCTTCCTAGATAGGAAGCTATGGTGATAGGCCGATTTTGACCATGTCAAAATTTCATTAAATCTTGACGTTTTGGATCATTTCAATGGCCGATTGTACCGTTTGCCTAAACAACGTTTAAGCAATTAATCATTGATTAATTTTAAAAATGACTTGCACCGTTCACTAATCAACGTTTAGCGAACCTTAAACACTGATTGAACTAAACGTCCAATTTTTGGTGATTAAAATATCGATTAGACTCATTGGCGTATCCAGAATTTTGGTTTGGGGGGGCTCTGTTAACAAAAAGTGTTGATCAAAAAAAAAAAAAAAAAAAACGCTGCGCAGAATACAATAGTCCATTTTCTCTACTTGCCTCTTATTGGCTAAAGCCGATATATTCATGCGCTTGTTGCCACATGTAGAAATACCGAAATATTTTACTAGGTAGCAAGAGTTCACCGACTATACCTGTCCTTTCTTTTTTTATGAAGTAGTGAAGGACAAAAATAGGTCATAGGTTGTGACTAGTTTTATGTCAGTCATGTTTGGGAATGGTTTACTAATGAGAAATTCAGCATCCCCCAAACGTCCCTCTCCCTATCCCGCATTTTCACAGCAGTTTTAAAATGCGATTTTCAAATCATTTTATTTTCGAAAATTAGCGTTTTTTGGGAAAAAAGTATACTGGTGGTATCAAAATGACTAACAGATTAATTTAAAAATTTGAAAGTTGCCTATTTTTGTCAGAATTTACCTGTAACATACCCAAATGTTACGTGGCTTTTCTTTTTTGCGGGGCGACAAAAATGTTCTTATCGGGCTACTTATTTGCTTTTTTTTTTGTAAGAGGAGACATTTTGTTCACGGAGCCTCTTCTCTCCTGAGGAAGGAAGTATTTCAGACATTCAAGATGATTAGGATGAAGCACGGATTCCCTTGCTGCATTCGGCGTTCGCCCTAGAAAAAACTTATCATAGAAAGAAATACATTTTTCCTACGAGCGTGCGCAAAGTAGTACTTTTCCGCACGCATTTCGGTTCTCAAAGTTGCACTTTTCCGCACTCAGTGCGGATACCGGCCTTATCCGCACTGAGTGCCGAAAAGTAAAAATAATTGTCAAGCAACAATAAGTGCACCTGTCGACGTTGACACATGATGACAAATTTTTCCTCTGTTTCTATATCAGCCAACATCTATACAAACACCAAATTTAATTAACTTTGACGCATTGTCAGATTTGTTCTCTATTGATATGCAAGAATTTACAAACTTTCTCATCAAATTTGAACGTTTTAAGATAAAGGGCTCTGACGATGATTTTCTGTTATTTTTTTTTTCTTCTTATGTAAATTTTTGATAACTGCATAGGTTCGCTTCAAGTTAATTAAAAATAATTGAACAAATTATTGTTTTTTTTTTCTAAATTTTGGTTGTTACCTACCTGATATGAAGCTCGTAGGAAAAATTTAGTTCCTAACACGTGCGCAAAGTGTCTTTTCCGCACGTAACACTTATCCGAACTCCGCTTCGCGTCGTTCGTATAACTGTGTTTGCGTGCGGAAAAGTAACACTTTGCGCACTTGTTAGGAAAATAACTATTTCCTACAGCCGTGCGGAAAAATCAATTTTCCGCTCTGATATGCGTGCGGAAAATGAGTTTTCGGTAAAACTTTTTTTTTTGACATATCAGTGCGGAAAAAGTTTTTCCGCACGGCTGTCAGTGCGGAAAAAATTTTACCGCACTGATATGTCAAAAAAAAAAAAGAAAAATTTTACATTTTTTCGCCTGTAGGAAAAATATTGTACCTAACACTTGCGGAAAATATTTTTCCGCACTCGGCTGCATCACCGAACTCCGCTACGCGTCGTTTGGTGAACGGCAGCCGCGTGCGGAAAAATTCATTTTCCGCACTTGTTAGGTAAATAACTATTATGTCTATTTTTTTTACAAAAATTGTACAGGGTGTTTCAGATTCGAGCCACATCATTGGGATCTCCGAAACGGTAAGATATACAGGGTTGGTCAAATAGGGCCAAAGTTGCATAATTTGATGCTTAATAAAATGCCGCTTTGATATTTAGGATATTCCGAATACTTTCGGAGATATCCGGAAAAAACCGAAATTTTGGTACTTTCCATAAGAACCAAATGTGTTAGAGAGAGACAGAGAAGAGAATTTTGGTAGGAAATTACTAAAAAATGGAAAAAATATTTTTTCGAATAAATGCGATACGTCAACGGTTTTGGGACATCAGAAGCACTAAAAATCTGAAATAAAAAATCCAGGGTCGTATTTAAAAAAATAGAGTTGATGATGGTGGCCCAAAGACGGAACGTCAGATTATAAATTTGATGGTAGCATCTTGTAGGGAAGAAAAAGTGGCTACAATGATGTGATATTTTTTTTGGAATATCACTTGAAATAAAGTCAGGAAAAAATAAAAACAATTTTGCAAAATTTCGGTTTTTTTCCGGATATCTCCGGAAGTATTCGGAATATCCTAAATATCAAAGCGGCATTTTGTTAAGCATCAAATTACGCAACTTTGCCCCCATTTAACCAACCCTGTATATCTTACCGTTTCCGAGATCCCAATGATGTGGCTCGAATTTGAAACACCCTGCACAGTGTGAGTCACTATATTTTGACACCCACCTGCAGCCGTAATTCCAGGTGAGAAGTGAAAGGTGTAAATACAAAAGTTGTAGCATTTTATCTGAACGACCAGAATTTTTGATTAGATTGAAAAAATGAGCAACACGAAATGAAAAAATATGTCAATGTTCACTTTTTTCAAATGGAATGCACTTTATTTTCGTTCAAATTCCTAAAGCTCTCGTTTTTCTGATTCAAATTATATAATATATTTATATTTTTTTCAATAGTTTTGGAAATATCTGGAGTTCAGTTATTCAAAGACCTATTCATGTATCAGAATGTTTCGTGAACAGGTGACAGGTGAATCAAGGTAAAATATATTCAAAAAACTGCTATCTTTGAATAACTAAACTCCAGATATTTCCAAAACTATTGAAAGAATTATAAATACATTATGTAATCTGAATCAGAAAAACGAGAACTTTAGGAATTTGGAAAAAAATAAAGTGCATTCCATTTAAAAAAAAAGTGAACATCGACATATTTTTTCACTTTACCTTGCTCATTTGTTCGGTCTAATTAAAAATGCTGGCGGTTCAGATGAAATGCTACAACTTTTGTATTTACACCTTTTACCTATCACTTCTGATTACGGCTGCAGGAGGGTGTCAAAATATGGTGACTCACCCTGTACATGTCACATAAAA